TTGATTTCAACAAAAATTGAATATATGAGGTTCTTTGATATGCTGAATCTAACCATGTATTTAGATTTTTTATTTGTAGGCCCCGCTATCAAATTGGTTCATATTGAGGTCAAAAGGGTCCAAAATTAAACTTTGTTTGATATCATCTAAAATTGAATTATTGGGGTTCTTTGATATGCCAAATCTAACCGTGTTTTTAGATTTTTAATTTGGGTCCCGTTTTTTAAATTGGTCTTCATTGAGGTCCAAAGGGTCCAAAATTAAACTTAGTTTGATTTTAACAAAAATTGAATTCTTGGGGTTCTTTGATATGCTGAATCTAAACATGTGTTTAGATTTTTGATTATGGGCCCAGTTTTCAAGTTGGTCCAAGTTGGGGTCCAAAATTATACTTTTTTTGATTTCAACAAAAATTGAATATATGGGGTTCTTTGATATGCTGAATCTAACCATGAATTTAGATTTTTTATTTGTGGGCCCCGCTATCAAATTGGTTCATATTGAGGTCAAAATGGTCCAAAATTAAACTTTGTTTGATTTCATCAAAAATTGAATTATTGGGGTTCTTTAATATTCCAAATCTAACCGTGTATTTAGATTTTTAATTTTAAGTCCCGTTTTTTAAATTGGTCTACATTAAGGTCCAAAGGGTCCAAAATTAAACTTAGTTTGATTTTAGCAAAAATTGAATTCTTGGGGTTCTTTGATATGCTGAATCTAAACATGTGTTTAGATTTTTGATTATGGGCCCAGTTTTCAAGTTTGTCCAAGTTGGGGTCCAAAATTAAACTTTGTTTGATTTTAACAAAAATTGAATATATGGGGTTCTTTGATATGCTGAATCTAACCAGTTATTTTGATTTTGGACATTGGACCATAATAGGTAAATTAAAAAAATTCAAGTTCTTAGACCACATTCTTTCTGTGTCAGAAACCTATGCTGTGTCAAATATTTAATAACAATCCAAATTCAGAGCTGTATCAAGCTTGAATGTTGTGTCCATACTTGCCCCAACTGTTCAGGGTTCGACCTCTGCGGTCGTATCAAGCTGCGCCCCAGCGAAGCATTTTATTATGTTTTAGTATTGTTTAAGAGTTATGCATTAATATTTTAATAAAATTCATGTCCCCAGACTAATTTTTCTAGGAATCATTAACATGCCTAGGTTATAACGTCCGGCAATGTCCTTTTATTTTAATAGGAAAAATTAATGAAACTTTCCAATCTTAACTAAGAAAATGTTTTTTTTATTTTCAATAATTTTTAAAATATAATAAAAATTACCTGAAAAACATGTCTTGGGACAATTTTTCCTAGGAAAATAAGTGCCAGACATATTTTACTAGCTATGGACTTATTTTCCTAGGAAAATTTGTCCTGGGACTTAAATTCCTAGTAAAATAATGGTCATGGACTTGATTAACTAGGAAAAAAAGTCTGGCGGACATATTTTACTACCGGTTCAAATTTACTGTTACATATTGTGCAATTTTTTACTGTGATAAAAATCTGTTTCATTAAAGTTGTTTGTTTATGACTTTCTTCGTTGTCTGTATACAATATAAGACATTAGTTTTAATTCTTCTTTCTGTTTTTTTTTAATACTATACAAAGGGTGAAAAATTTCATTCAAAGAAACATTTGAAGAAAAAAAATGATTGTACAATTCTTCACAATTCAGTCATATTTTACCAAAAAGATTTTTATAATCCATAGGAATGTTTCTAAAAATCAATTTAAGTAATGTAGTGGACAATACCACGATTTAAGATCAGTTATGAAACTAGATGTACCATGCAAAGCTCTCAAAATTGACAGCCCACCACTTACAAAGTCCATGATTTGATAGGGAAATCCCAAAAAGGATTGATAAAACAAAATAGAAGGTGCACAATTTCATAAGATGGTTATGATTGTGAGTAAGTTTCAATTAATTGTAATACAGGGTTCAGGAGGAGTTACTGATACAAAATTGGTACCCTTCCAAATAAAGCTATGGCAAAGTAAGAGAAACCCAAAAATAATTTTAATATTAACAAAGTCTAGGCCATCCCAAATGCTCCCCCAAAAAAGTAACAGATGAAATGAAATAGGAGGTGCTAAAAATAAGTCATGTGAGTAAGGTTCTGTGCAAGTTTCACAAAATTGTGCAAGTGGTCCAGTGGGACAAAAGGGTGAACAGACAAATGAACAGATTGACAAACTCCCCCATCACTATATAACATTGGAAGGAAAGGACAGAATAATGAATCCTAGTGTTAATTTGAACTTCCTTTATTTACTATATATGTTTATAATTCACCATGAATCATTTTGAAAATAACAAGCTATTGCCTAATTTTTACTGTCGTGACTCTAACCCATAGTACTGGAGCAGAAACTTCTCTCACCCTTTCATTGTTCAAGTCAATCGGTTGGTGGGGTGGTGTTGCTGACATTTCAGATTTTGCAAGATGACTCACCACCAAATAAACATGATAATTTTATGCTTTTTATGCCCCCACCATAGTGGAGGGAGCATTAAGTTTTACCCTTGTCTGCCTGTATGTCTACGTTATGAAATTGGTTTCTGTTCTCAAACTTTAGTTTGCCTCAACCAAATGAACCAAATGTTATGAAACTTATACACACAATGCTTATTACCACAAAACACAGATCAAGTCTAAATAAGGGTGGCGTCACTTTTACCTTTCTAGAGTTATACCCTTTACAAATGGAAAAATTGCTGAATTTTTCGTTTCCGTTCTCTAATTTAAGTTTGCCTCAACCTTATTGAAAATTTCCCCACATCACCTTTTATTAATATAATCATTATATATATATATATATGAAATGAAGCACTTAAATTGCTTTTTGGCTCCTTTAACTGCTATTCATAGAATTATAAAATTTGTAGGGAAAACTTTTTATTTAAATAATCCTAGTATCTGTAAGAAAAATAATTTTATTCCATATTGATCTATGCAATTCTTGGTATTTTTTAGTAGGTAGCCATTTGTGGTTAGTTGATACCCCGGGTGACTTTACCATACTGTTCTTGATAGGTCAACACAAGATCTCCAATATTGACAGAATCTTTTACTATGCTTAGTTGCTCTGTGTAGTTTTCCGACACAAAACAAAACAGCCAGGCCTCAACTAAGCATAGTAAAAGATTCTGTCAATATTGGAGATCTTGTGTTGACCGATCTAGAACAGTATGGTGATGAGTGGCCACAAATGTGAAAAATTATCACCATTTGCGGTCCAAATGTTGAAATTTAATGGTACAAGGGAAGCAAATCATTAGCATGGATGATGGTCACCATGCACAGTTCCTATTCCTGTACAAAGGGGAAAGAGGAAACTATTTATGGAAAATGTTTAAAGAGACAAAATTTGGAAAAGTGGGTATCAACTAACCACAAATGGCTACCTACTAAAAAATACCAAGAATTGCATAGATTAATATGGAATAAAATTATTTTTCTTACAGATACTAGGATTATTTAAATAAAAAGTTTTCCCTACAAATTTTATAATTCTATGAATAGCAGTTAAAGGAGCCAAAAAGCAATTTAAGTGCTTCATTTCATATATATATACATTTTGTATAATGATTATATTAATAAAAGGTGATGTGGGGAAATTTTCAATAAGACAGCAACATATTATTAATCATTTAAATGATACAAATAAATTATTATTTACCTCAAACACCACATTGTAGTTTAAATATCTTAAATTGCCATTTGATGATTATCTCTCCGGTAGTAGTGGGGATAAGGCTCTCGCTCACAATGCAGATAGCAATGCAATGAAAGGGGGTAACGGTTCGAATCCCCTGCCCGGACGGTTGATTTCAAAAACAACTGTAGGTCATCCTACGACCTTCAACAATCAACATAGTAAGCTTGTTTAATTCCCAGAAATAGGTATACGTTTAATTGCTGTTTAAACTAGATAAAACCTGTCAGAGTTACACAAAAAAGTAAGGAGTTTACTACCTAGTCAGGTCAAACTATAGGAAAAAAAATTTGGTGCTTCTGTATTAAGTGTCCTGGTTTAAAAGAAGGCTTAAATTAAGCTAACAGACTCAATATAAGACTCGTGGTTGGATCACATGTCTTCCAGAATATTTTTATTAGCAACTGGAATATAAACATCTGCTATCTATTCAGTATGTTATTCTTCCAATCAGGAACCTTCTTAACACATTTTTCTATCCTCATCCTAAAAACAGAGAAAAAGTTCTTATACAAGAATAAATAATAAACTTTAAAATCTTTTGATCGAAATTATTTATCAATGTTTATGTCGTGTTTAGTTACATTGTAGAAAATCAAGAGGATAAGAAACATATTGTATGTATAAATTAATATTTTATTTTCAGGGATTAAAAAGTATAGCTGACTGGAACAAAACATCATTTCGCTTGGCTTAGGGAGATATGAAGATTTGTTCACCCTCAAAAAGTCATATTTCCCTCGCGCAATATCCTCGGGAATATGAATTTTCTTGGGTGAAAAAAATTTCATATCTCCCTCAGCCAAGGGAAATAAATGTATAGTGTCACCTTTATTGGGAATGAGTGCATGGAAAGGAGGAGAGAACAGCGCCTTGTAATAAGTGTACAAAAATTGAAAATAGTGGACGTCCTGTGTAGCCATTCCCACTGAAAAACATATTAAATATATAACAGAAAGTCAAGAACTTCACATAAAAAAATGTATTTTTTATCAGAAAGTACTGATATTAACAAACTATAAACAACTTGAACTCATTGTTAAACAGTGCAATAATGAAAAACTGAGTGGAAAGTTTTAAAATAGCATATATAAAAACAGAAAACATGCAACTAATTACTGTAAAGGATTTTAGCAACATATAGCAGCACAGAAATAACTAGATGACAGAGTAAATACCATGTCCAGATATGCCGTGCTCCCAATATAAAGGAGGTTCATACGAGATATTTTTATCGAGACGACGGTTCTCGTTTCTCTTCCATTACCATTAAGGTTCCCCACATCATGCGGATAATTCTAAAACTTTTCAAGACTTTTCATCATAATACCTTGATCCAAAGTACTGATAAATAATTTGGATGCATATAATATACACTATGGAAAGCTGTATTAAATATCAGAGGTCTTTTAAGGCTGCAGATTTCAAAAATACTTCTGTGGATCACTTCCTACTGGTCGAGGACCAGTTACTGTCAGTTACCAATTACCGTCACTTGCCATCTTAGTTAACAACATAAGCTTAACATACTGCCATTATATCTTCAGACAAATATTTTTACTTCATTTGTAAAATCTCTGTTTTGTTTGATCAGATTAAGATGGGGAAATGCTCAATTTTCACAGGCACTTGTTTCTATCAATAGGGGGGGGGGGGGGGGGGGTAGGACCTTTATCGGGACTCCGGGATCGGGTGTTTTTAAGCTCGGGATTTCGGGATTGATCCTTTCGGGATCCGGGAATTCTTTTTTCGAATTTCGGGATGTCGGGATTTAAATTTTTTTAAATTCGGGACCTCAGGATTCCATGTTTTTAAGCCCGGGATTTCGGGATCAGGACCCCTCCTACCCTCCTCATCTATGGGAAGGTCAACTATATCCATATATATATATATATGGATAGTCGACCTTCCTATGGATAGAAACAACTGCCTGTGTCAATTTTCTATAGATTGAACGCGTTATGGGTAGATACATGTGTGGTAAAATGACAATAATCACTTTGTAAGGTCCTTAATTTTTGAAAACTTATTGTTTATAGACATTGCATGATCTTATAGAGAAAGCAATATCTAACCTTGATTAAGAATATACAATTTCTTTCAAAAGAACTTAAAACGACTTATAATTTACAAGATTAAAGTCTATACATCTCTTCAATAGAGTGTAAGTGGTTATATTCAAGCGACATACTTTGTATATAGATGCCTTATGTAACGAAGTTTTTGTCTGTCATATGTCCATTGTCCTTGACCTCATTTTCATGGTTAAGTGACTACTTGAAAAAAAAGTCAACATTTTTTTGTAATGTTAATTTCTTTCTTATTATGAGTAATAGGATAACTATATTTAGTATGTGCGTACCTTGCAAGGTCCTCATGCCCGTCAGACAATTTTCATTTGACCTCGACCTCATTTCATAGATCAGTGAACAAGGTTAAGTTTCGTGGTCAAGTCCATATATCAGATACTATAAGCAGTATGTCTACTATATTTGCTATATGGAATGATTGTAAGGTGTACATGTCCAACTGGTAGGCGTCATCTGACCTTGACCTCATTTTCATGGTTCAGTTGTCAGAGTTAAGTTTTTGAGTTTTTGTCTTTTTTTCTAATACTATATGCAATAGGTGAACTATATTTGGTGTATGGAAATATTTTATGATGTACATGTCAGTCTCGCAGGTTTTATTTGACCTTGACCTCATTTTCATGGTTCATTTCTCAGTGTTAAGTTTTTGTGTTTTGGTCTGTTTTTCTTCAACTATAAGCAATAGATCAACTATATTTGTTGTATGGAAGGATTGTAAGGTGTATATGTCAGTCTGGCAGGTATCATCTGACCGTGACCTCATTTTCATGGTTCATTGGTCAATGTTAAGTTTTCATGGTTAAGTTTGTTTCTTAGATACTATAAGCAATAGGTAAACTATATTTAATGCATAAATTGATTGTAAGGTGTACATGTCTGTCTGGCGTGGTTCATCTGACATTGACCTCATTTTCATGGTTCATTGGTCAATGTTAAGTTTTCTTGGTTAAGACTGTTTCTTAGAAACTATAAGCAATAGGTCAACTATGTTTGGTTTATTGAATGATTTTAAGGTGTACATGTATTTCTCGTTTGGTTTATCTGTCCTTGACCTCATTTTCTTGGATCATATTAAGTTTATGTGTTACTTGTAGTGAGGCTTTATATTGAGGACTATCAACATAAAATCAATGGTTAGTAAAGAAGAAGAGACATTTCAGCATGTGCACACTTGTTATCAAGGCTGAGTTATTTATTTTCAAAATCCTCCTCCCCCCCCCCCCCCCCGAATATGAAATGGTCGTACACAAAAGCAAAATTACAATATTAATGTCCCGATTACATGTTAATTCTACATGTATCATTTGATAATAGTTTCAATAGTGACAGTAAATGGTCATCATACCCATAAAATTTCCGGCAAAAATCGGTAAACTAGTATCCTACTTTTAGTTGTTAATAAGAGGAATTAAAATCAAAGTCCATGGTGCAAGACCTAACTTTTGGTAATTCTCCGTATGTTAAAAGAATATTTCCCCAAACAGTTCCTGTTAAAAATTATTTGAGAAAAACTGAATTTCTGACGTTAACTGGTCCACTATACTATCTGTGGAACCTTAGCTTTTATGCCATAGTCTGCAAATTGTCAAAAAATATCATAAGGACATGGTCTGCATAGCTGTGGCACAGTAGCTCTTATGGTCCTTGTAACATATTTTGATAACATGCAGACCATAAAGGAGTAGGTTCGATATGGCCCTTATTTCTAGTTACAATTTAAAATTAGGATTTATTGACAAATATCACAATGAATTATAACTAATACAATGACTAAATAAGAAGTATGTTTTTATGTTGAAAGTTGACATACTGGCGTTCAATCATGACATCACAAATAGCACTCATTTTGCTTTTCCTTGAAAATTCAATAAAAACAGGTAAATTTCCATTGATATTTTAGACAGGAACCGCAGAGTGCATGTGTCTACTACAAAAAAAGATCTTTTAACATAATGTTTGATATAACATTTTACATAACTGACTTGAATATTTAGTTTGTTGACGCCTGCGTTTTATATTTCCTAGGCCCAAATTTGGTTAAAATCTGGAAGATTTTGTCAAATTTCCAAAAAATATCTATTTTTGAAGGTATAAATCAACGCTTTTAAATATAAATAAAAATAGCTCTATTTGACTTTCTTACATGTCTTTTCATCAACTTAAAATAATTTTTATCTTTGAAACTTAATAATCGGGGCCAAATATGATCCTTACCGAACTTCCTCCTTTTATCAAATTTGATTGTTTACAGCCTTTGCATATTATATGTGTATGTATATATTTTTCCTCTACAATATTTTTTTGTAATATGTATCCAACTACTGGTTTATTTATGTTTTTATGGGCAGGTTTTGTAGAAAAATTGTGTGTTTTTATGCCCCTTTGTAGCCGAGGGGGCATTAAGTTTTACCCTTGTCCTTCTGTACGTCTGTCCATAAGTCCCAAAATTGGTTTTCGTTCTCTAACTTTAGTTTGTCTCAACAAAATGTTATGAAACTTATACACAATGCTTATTATCACAAAACACAGATCAAGTTTGAATTTTGGTGGGGTCACTTTTACCGTTCTAGAGTTATGCCCCTTCAGAAATGGAAAAATTGCTGAATTTTTCGTTTCCGATCTCTTACTTTATTTTGCCTCAACCAAATGATATGAAACTTATACACAATGCTTATTACACAATGTACCACAAAACACAGATCAAGTTTGAATTTTGGTGGGGTCACTTTTACCATTATAGAGTTATGCCCCTTTACAAATGGGAAAAATTGCTGATTTTTTGTTTACATACTCTAATTTTAGTTTGCCTCAACCAAATGATATGAAACTTATACACAATGCTTATTACCACAAAACACAGATCAAGTTTGAATTTTGGTGTCGTCACTTTTACTGTTCTAGAGTTATGCCCCTTCAGAAATGGAAAAATTGCTGAATTTTTTGTTTCCCTTTAACTTTAGTTTGCCTCAACCAAATGATATGAAACTTATACATAATGCTTATTACCACAAAACACAGAACAAGTTTGAATTTTGGTGGCGTCACTTTAACGGTTCTAGAGTTATGCCCTTTTGCAAATGGAAAAGTTTCACTTTTACTGTACTTGAGTTATATCCCTTTATAACCTTATATGCAAGCGGGGGCATCATCGGTGTACCATGGACACATTCCCCTTTTATTTGGGCTTTGGAACATACAAGAAACTGCATAATTTGTACAAGCACATGTACACGTACAAATGTTTTAATGAGCACCTTATTGAAATATTGACTCATTCCTTGAGTGATTGGTCTTTGAAATCCCTTTTTGGATCCTATATCTGAAATGATTTTCCTATTTGGACTCCGACAGAATCCCTTATCAAGCCCTATTAATGCTAATTGAGAAAATTTTTATAAACTATCTTACTTGGATCTAGCACCTTATATATGCTGGTATTGTCCGCGGAATTTTCGCAGCAATGCAGCTACAAGCTGTTTTGACAGGCACATATCCATGTAATGCCTGACCCAAAAAAATTTAGGACACAAATCATGTCAAATATTTTTTTTAAAGTTTTTTTTCATGCCCTAACGTCGTTTTCTTGTCTAAAACATGTATAATATACTAGATTATGGAGACCCATTGGTGGCCTTCGGCTGTTGTCTGCTCTATGGTCGGGTTGTTGTCTCTTTGACACATTCCCCATTTCCATTCTCAATTTTAACTTATGTTGTTAGTAAAAAAAAAAACCATATAATCCCTACTTACCTACCTACCTACCCAATCCTACAAGGCATGGGTAGGCAACATCAAACAAAGAATTTGTTAAGGGTGGCCTTATAGATGTATCATAAAGACTATGTATATGTACATGTGTCCAAGAACATTGACTAAAACTCAACAGATTATACTTTTTTTGAGTAGAATATAGTTTTTGACTCACTTGCGAGGAAAGTCGCAGTAATGCGAAACATAGGGATTACTATCTGCGACATCGGCAGGTCAAACTATTTGTATAAAGCTTTATATTTCTGATGGTAGAAGACCTGGATGCTTCATACCTTGTATGCAGATACCTTATGTTACAAAGTTTACGTTTGTAATATTCCCTTTGTCCGTGACCTCATTTTCATGGTTCAGCGACTGCTTGAAAAAAATTTAGTGTTGTCATGTGAATTTTACACTTATTATGAGTAATAGGATAACTATATTTGGTATATGGGTTCCATGCAACGTCTACATGTCCCTCAGACATGGTTCACCTGACCTTGACCTTATTTAATGGATCAGTGATCACGGTTAAAGTTACATGATTATGTTCATTTCTCAGTTACTATAAACAGAAGGTCAACTATATGTGGTGCATGGAATGACTGTAAGAGGTCCATGTCATTCTGGCAGATTTCATCTGACCTTGACCTTATTTTCATGGTTCATTGGTTAATGTTTAGTTTTTGTGTTTTGGTCTCTTTTTCAAGTATTATAAGCAATAGGTCAGCTATGTTTGGTGTATGGAATGATTGTAAGGGGTACATGTCTGTCTAGTCAGTGTCATTTGACCTTGACCTCATTTTCATGGCTCATTGGTTAAAGTTAAGTTTCTGCGTTTTGGTCTGTTTGTGAAATACTAATAGCAATAGGTCAACTGTATTTGGTGTATGGAATGATTGTAAGGTGTACATGTCTGTCAAGCCGTTGTCATCTGACCTTGACCTCATTTTCATTGTTTATTGGTCAATGTTAAGTTTTTGTCTTTATGTCTGTTTTCAATTACCGTAAGCAATGGGTCAGCTATATTTGGTGTATGGAATAGTTGTCAGGTGTAAATGTCTGTGTGACAGTTTTTATCTGATCTTGACCTCATTGTCATGGATCTTTAAAAATGTTAAGTTTATGTAATACTTGTAGTAAAACCTTAAGCTTAATCTTAGACTTTCAACATAAAGTCAATGATCAGTATAAAAGGGTAGACATTTCAGTGTGTGCACTCTTGTTACTGGTAAAACAGCATTTATACATTTTGTTATCTTTCAATGTAGTCATCTTTAGTTGGTTAAAGTGAACAAACACCTTCCCTTCCAGAGCACCTGAATTCATCCCCAGTTTTTGGAGGGTTCCTGTTTCTCAATCTCATGTTTTCTGTATATTGTTTTGTAATTGTAATTTTTTTGGTTATAGTTGTGGCCATATATCATGTATATTGTTGACTGATTTATTGCCTCTTGCAATTGGTATCTTTTGTCTTTTTTTCATTGGAAAGATATTTTAGGGCAACCTGTAGATGGCTATCTAAGCATAAGGTGTCTGTCTTTTGTTCAGCAAACAATAATCAATCAATCATACTTTCAGCAGATAATAAATGGTTCTAATATTAAGACAGCACCATAAGGTTGCCAAATGATACTCTTTATTCTGATCTTCATGTTTCACCACTTGAGTGTTACATGTCCTGAAGATGGCTGTAAGGGGGCAGAACATGTCGATCAGGATGAGCAAACCAAATATACTAGTATGTCATTGATATACAGATATAAATGTATAATGGCTGTTTCAAGGAATATGAGTATTTTGCAAAATGTGTTTTGGAGCTTGAACTTATTAAAAAGTTATACTTTAGTGTTGAATCGATAATAATTTCACTGTTAAAAAACCTGCCACCAAAGGAATAAATAGTGATCTATATGAAGGACACCCTTCTTCAGCTTTTATTGACAGTTATACCAAAAGTGCTTGAATTTACCTCTTGTTCTATAAATGTAACCAATCAAATGTATTTAAATCTGTTTTTATTCTTTGCAGATAGAAGATATTTACTAGGTGATGGAGCATTAAGAATACAAAGCTATTTAAGCCACTGTCAGGATTATCAGAGCAACTACGATGACGCCAGAAGAGGTATTTCAGAGCAGAAATTACAGATAAAAAAAAGACAAAATAAGAACCAAGAGAACATGCAGAAGACAAATCAGAAGCAATAGGATAGGAGTACATGCACATTATAGGAGGAATCATCTTAATATATAGCTTTTTTCACACTGACACAATGTGAAACTATCATAAATATCAGCTAAGAGACGAGATATCAGCAGCCATGCTACTGTGGATTAATTATTATTCAAGGGTTTCCAATTTTTGTGGATGTAGATAAACCACGAATTTAATTGTTCCACTAAGCACACATTTTTTATAGGCTTTAATGCAGACTATTGCAAAACCATGAAATTAATATCCATGAAAATATAAGTTTTCCTCAATCCTTGAAAATTGGTACCTCAAAAATAAATGTATCCATGGTATGTGACTTGCAGTTTTGTAGAATTTCCCTTTTTATTGAAAATATTTTTTGAATGTTTATTTATATGCATATTTGGATAATCAAAAATGAAACTGACTTGTTAACATAAATTTTAAGAAAATTGAGACTTCAGAATGGAACAGCCTGAATTCTATGAATAAAGCAACTGAACACAAATAGGCAAAATAAATCTTGTCAACAATTTACAGTTGGCTTTACCATATGGAAGGCTCTGAATGTGCTAAACTGCTCTATGGGAAGAAATTGTGAATATATTAAGCAGAAACTATCAATTAAAGTTTGCTAAATCTGTTGATAAACATTTTGATGAGGAATGATACAGTTAAACACAATTATTTGAATCTGACTTCTGAAGGACCGAAAATGTTGTTCTATTTGCAGTGAGATTTTACTGCACATTTGTTTATTTCTTACAGGTTAAGAAAAGTTTCTATATATATTTAAGACATGCATATTTAATAGATAAATGTAAAAATTAGAAAAAAAAACCAAAATTGTTTAGTTTTAAGAAATAAGACTGCACGTAAAGTAGACAATTGTCCTTCACATTCTTTATCATTACCCAATTTTCCACCTTCCCCAAATTAACTCTTTGTTGGAGGTAAAAGTGAACAAATTCCCTCATAAATCAGCCAAAATCAACTTGTTATACTGAACGCTAGACTTGAAAAAGTTGTTTTTTGAACAATTTTAATTTCTTTTAGCCTTGCTAGATTCAACACTACAATATACAATCTAGTAAGGATCTCTTAACAGACTTGTGTGTAGGACATGTTTCAATTTCGTTACTCAAATAAGAAAATCAACAAAAATGGGAGCCAAGGGAAATAACTCAAACTCAAATTATGTCATTCGAAACCATTCTATTGGTAGAAGGGTACAATACTGAATCTTCTGAAGCACATGACGAGAAATAATTGTTTACAGTATGTATTGACTATTTCATAGGACTAGGATTAATAGAATATATTTTTGAACTTTATTTCAGAAACTTTTATGGCTGAAATGAAAGATAAACTAACAACAGGAGATGTTGTTTTAAAAGACGAACTCAAAACAATGATCCATCTGGTGAAGACAGATGAAGATGTAAATATGTGTATACAAATGGCTAAACAGTAAGTAATCATATTATGGTCACTAAAGCTTACATTTAAGCATTTTAGATATATAAGGCCAATTAAAATTAATTGATAGATTTTCATCCCCACCGCCCCTCTGAAATCGTCCTGCCCCGATTTTTTAAAGATTTATGATTTCCATATTTTGTTTATTTCCGTTACCGTTAACCGCCGATAATTACGTTTCATTCAAAACTTCCTGTCAAATTTCAGTTTTCGTATTTCTCCTCGAGTAATATAACCGAAATTATTAAGTCGACATATTCTGCTGCTCAATGGTGACAACATTATCTTCTGAGAATATAGATTGATTACTAGAAGGGCATGAATTATTCGGGTTACGAGTAATAGGCGGTGTCCAAGAACGCTAATCGCGGTATGTCACAAATTTCAGTGATTAGAAAACTGTAGATTTTTTTATTTATACAATGACTTTGTGTCAGGGAATTTGGACTGTGAATAATATCCAAAGCGCAAGAATCGTGGAACACATTGGAACAAAAACATGACTGGAATAAAGTAATTGACACAAGCACGAACTTGTGCGATTTATGACCATATATTTTGAGTACAAAGAGTCGGCCAACATACAAAATGTATTATAGCAAGCCCTTAGATTTACCCCAAGGCTGTCGTTTTTGTTGACAAACAGCAAACACCCTCTGTCCCCAGCCCCTTAATAGAGTCATTAAACAACTTCTTCTTTTTTGGTTCAGTTCATGTTTTAAATTGTAATTATATTTGCACCTTGCATAAGAATCTTCAAAGCATCAACCTTAGTATTTTCAACACAGTTTGAGTTTTCATTTCACTCTGTACTCGTAATATTTGTGTTGCATACCAATGCATATGCTTTATTTTATGAGCACTACAAATCATAGCTTAAAAGAAAAATGAATTTGATGTAGGTAGTCTAAAAGAGAACATTTCTCCACGTTTTTTGCTTTTTATTAAAAATAGGCTTCTAAAGCGGCCATTACATGTAGATCAGTGGTTGCCAATCAGAAATATTGATTTAAGAATTTGAAAATAATGTAGAATTCCTCATATATACATGATATAAGCTTATTATTACCCTAGTATATGAACAAAAAAGGGTTAAGAAGGAAATAAAAATTAAAAAATTAAATCCTTCCACCCGCACCATTTTTTTCCAAAATCTGGATGAAAATCTACTAATGAATTTTAGTTGGCCTAAGAATCAGATACAAAAGCTTTTTTTTGCCAAAAAAATTGATCAAAATTAATCATCTGGTGATTGAAAATTTTCAGCTACTCTCTTTAAAATCTGAATACTGTAGGCTTGAGATTTATGTGTATCAACACAGCATCCAAAAAAACTCAGTTGGAAACTGCTAAAGGATGAAATGGTGATGTCCTGATCTCAAATGATCAACAGTTAATTTGACTAATAGGTATATGTTCATGCAGAACTTGAATAAGAACAGGATTCAATATTCCAATCTCGAAAACTAGAAATACCTTATGTACTTTAAATTGAGGAATTGTTGCAGTGATTGCTTAATTGAAAATTCAACAATATTAATTCTAACTGTGCATTAACCAAAACTTACATTTTAATATATTTGCTAGCACAGCCATAGTGCTCCCTTAAAGGAACTGAGGCAAAGGGGGTCTGGGGGATGTCCCCCCAGTGGGACAAAAATGTATTGGTTGATTGAATTGAAACTTGAGTTTTCCTGATAGGACACTAAGGGAATGGTTGGAGTATTCATATCAAGAAACAAACAAGAAATAAGAGAAATTATGTGTTTATTTCTTACTATTAGCTGATTAGTAACAACAAATAGTTAAAACAAGCTGTCTAGTGTCAATTTAATAGTTAATATCTATTCATACAAAACCTCCCGATTTTACAATGACCATAACTATAAAATTTAAAAGTTTGCCCATTTTTCATGTCAATTTTAAAATCATTTCTATGGACATTGAGCAAAGTCAGCCCACAAAGTCTATCCTAAGCCGTAGGAGATCGTTTCGAGGTTTTAAGATGCCTTAACCATATAGTAAGGCCTCTCACAACAGACTAATCACTGGTCACCTGCAGAGAAAGAAGCAGTTTTAATATAATAGAAACTTTATGATATAAATCTCTGTCAGCAAGCTTTATTGTTTCCTAAAGGCTTCCTACATCTTGCAATTGTACTGTCTTTTTCTTTTCTTTTTTCTGACTCAGACTTATCTACTGTACCCAGTTTTTAACCATCTTACAAAAAAAATAAAGTTATAAGACATACTGAACCCGATAAATCTTTTAAGGAATTTTAGGTAACTTTGAAAATTTGAAATTTTAAGGCATCTTTGAGGAGTGCAAAAAGGAGATTTTGTTCATCAGTTTTCAAATAGTTGCCGTTGAACAAAGTGTGATGCAGTGAGATGACTAAATGACATTAGTGATCCCTTTGTCGTTTTTTCTCAGTCACCGAGTCTGTTCAATTTCTTCGTCTTTCTTTTATTTACTCAGGATAAATTTTAAGTTCCTTGAATCTTGATTTCATGTTTTTACAAGTTCTGCAATCAAACCTCAAGTTAATTTGCATTAAGTTGAACCTTTAAATTTGCTGGTCACCTATACTTTCTAAATTGTTGATAACTAGTGACCTATAAGTAATAATAAACCCACAGTATACCCTTCTCCATATTTTCATTTCTTGCAAATATTTTTGTTCGGCAAATATTAATAACTCAATCAAAATGTTTGATACTAACACATATAGAATATCATACATTAAGGAAATAGATTTCTATAGAGTTTGTTCTATATAAGACAAGACCAATAAAACCTGCATTGCTCTGTGCAATTGATTGAAATTTCAAACTATCTGCAAACAGGAAGAAGATAAAAATTGCTTTCACACTACAACCTAGGATTATGAAGATGCAGACCAAATATAAAATCATTCCCTTCATAGTAGAAAACTTTGTCGAAAATCTATCCAAGGTCTTTCGGACAGAATGATGGAGGGAGTCTAGCTTTACTAAATCTGCTTTTGCTGTTGCAGACAAAGGTAATAAGGAGATGTGGTATGATGGCCAATGGTACAACTATTCACCCATGTCTAAATGACATGGATTTAAGCAAAAATATAGGTCAACCTACAGCCTTCATCAATTCAAAAGTGTTCTGATCAGTTTTATTAATTTTGATAAACTATACATTGATTAAATTTGTCTTGGTAAGTCCACACAATCTTAATAATTTGAAAAAAAGCTTTTGAAACCAAAGAGAAAATTCATGTATTTTATTTGTGCTTCTTTTTTTTTTAGATTCCAGAAAGTAAAATATCAGCTTCAACAAAGATATGATTTTTTCTTTGGTCCTGTGTTTATGAGGATGTTACATCATTCTAAGAAAGCAGACATTGCGTTTATGTTGATGGAAGATAGGGTAACTACACAGGAAGTTCTAATAAATTCCATAAATTATTTTGAAATTTTAAAAGAATTTTTCTGTAACATAAACAGTAAGTTGGGAAGGATTATGGGGTTTTCTGGATATGGTTTATGTGGAGCATTTGAGCAGGATCTGGTTTCCTTTCCAGAGCACCCTAGTTTTCTATGTTGTGTTTTGTATACCGTTGTTTTTCTTTTGGTCGTTTTTGTTTTTTTTGCCATGTTATTGTCAGTTTGTTATTGACTTATGTGTTTGTATATCCCTTTGGTAACTTCTGCCATTGTCCACTATATCATTAAACAAGAGACCAGAAAGTAATAAAAGATAGATAATTTTAAATGACAATTTGATACATTTATCTGTGTACAAATGTGTTTAGGAAAAACCAAAGACAGGCTCAAATTCTATGAAGAAGAAAAATAGAGTCGGAAATTGGGGAAAAGGGACGTAAATAAAGAGGGCAAAATTTGTGGGAAAGAGAATGAGAATTGCAGAATGAAAAATGTTTTCATAGAAGCCAGCTGCTGGCTAAGTAGTCATTTAGTTCACAATATTGTCCCTTTACTTCTTTTAACTATAAAAGTTATCAATAAAACCATTGATACAATGCAGGCCCTGTCCTCAACTTTTAAAATCGATGTGCGCTACTTGAAAATTCAGGGAATCCTGTTTAGGATTGACTTGTTATTTGTATAGCATTGGAAAATATTGTTTTATGTTTGAACAAAAGATTAAATAAATATATGCCTATGGTCATTCCCTCATTGATTGTTATGAACATATTGAGATCAAACATTCTATCTTCAATGAATCGTGTTTTTTTTTAATCATTTCAGAAGGGGTTGAGAAATCTGCTATTCCACCTGACTGCAGTTGTGATCTATATGGATTTGTTGTTTGAGGCAGGAAAGTATGAACAAGTTGTCAAATGTTATGAAGAACTTGATAGAGCTCAAAAGTATAAGCACCTACCATTAAGAAATCACATGACCTTGGCATTGGCAGCTTTGTATAAAATGGTAATATTTTTTAACAGTATTGTTCATATCTTTTTATTGAAGCACATGAATCATTTTAATATCAAACTGTTTTGCTAAGGGTATGATAAATATCCTTTCTGTAGTTCAAAGAGCTATATTAAATTGTTTTTAAGGTAACTTTGCCATAATTTATAGTTTTAAGTTTTCCTGCTTGATTTTTTTCTCTCCTTACCATAGAACTATTAAGGGAAAGTAATTCAGTTAGATAAGTAACCCAACATTAAAGATATTGAATATTTAGAGTTAAGGAATATAAATCACATTAAAATTGTCGCAGATGTGGATTCATTATTATTTGTACAGTATTTATTTTGGTGTATTTCATAGGGAATGGGGTGAACCATGAATTTAGATACTGAAAAAAAAAAATATCTTATTGATTACAAAGGAGTAGGCCCGCCCGGTAAGACACCTTTTTGGTCCCAAAATATAGCATTTTAAAAATCTGTTAAAAATGTAAACATATAGCTATTTTTTGGAAAGTAGAATACTTTTATTAAATAAATATGGGCTGTTTTTGACAATACAATGCACATCCATCAGGTACTACATACCTTCCAACTTTTGAAAATGCCCATGGGGGTTTTGTGTGTAACACCATTTTTAAGGGTCAAATTTGTTCTCCGCATTTTTTCGTATGTGCTGATTTGGCTCAAGAAATAGTGGCATACTTCTTTTTTTTTAGGGTGATAATGGAAGATGAGGTTATAAACCTTCTCTTTTAATTTTATGATTGTTGTACTCTTTTTATTGTGATAAACACCAGTAAGATTTCTTGTTGTTTATCTGATACATTGTAAAGAAATAAAAAAAATAATCATTTTAATAATCTAATAACAAAAAGGCAAGAATATATAATATAGATCAATATCAACAGTTGTAATGTCAAATACAAAAGGTACTATTTAATGAGTATTAAAAGTACATGCACACATGCAGCACTACAGTTCATAGTGTTTCAAAGTTTGTAAAGCACTAAAATGTTCAATTTTAAAAGCAACTGTTTGATTTATGTAGCACTACAGTTCAAAATTTTAAAAAGGTTGCACATTTATTTTAAATTTAAATGTCACAAAAAAAATTTAAGCACAGTCCTTATTGTAAGAAGAGCAAGCCTGTCTAGCTGTCTTGAGTTGTTCTTTTGTTTGCTGGAAACTGTAACATTTTCTGGTGGTGTTTAGCTTTACTGTCAGTTGGGCACATAATGTAGAATTATCTAAGGATGACCTGGTGTCAGTTTGAATCTTCTTTACCATGGAAAATGTGCGCGCACAGTCAGCATTAGAATTTGGGATGGTACACACTGCAGTTTGAATCTTCTTTACCATGGAAAATGTGCGCGCACAGTCAGCATTAGAATTTGGGATGGTACACACTGCAGAGACAATCTTGGTGAGCAAAGGAAACCTGGGTGTTCCTGTTATTCTGTTGGTAATCTGTGACACCTGTCCCCAGTACTGGTCTACTCTTGTTGAACCTAGAGTGTAAGTAGGCAGTTCATATGATGGTGTGACCTGGTAGTTGGTGAACTCTTCCTCCAGTTGCTGAAGTTGGTGATCTGGTACAACTGATGGAAAGCATCTTGCAACAACTGTTATAGCTGATGATGGTAGGTCACCTCTGGTTGATGGGTTGAGAAAGGCCAAATCACAAACAACTGGGTCCTTGAAATGGAACAACTACTGTGTGGAAGTTTCTGACAGACCTACTGTAAATTCAGAAATTATTGCGTGCATTTATTATTGCGATTTTGTCATTTTAGACTAAAATGCGATTTCAATTTTTGCGATATTGAGAAAAATCCTGTTTAATTTATATAAAAAATTTCAAAATGCGAGTTTAAATTATTGCGATTATATCCCTGTCGCATTTTTCGCAATAATAAAAACTTCGCAATAATTTCTGAATTTACAGTATAAAAAAAAAATAACTAGTTTTTTAAACAACCATATTTTAACGTCAGTACACAAAATTATCAATCAGGTATCATGCAGAAAGTTGTATGAATATACCAAGAAGTTTAATGAAGAGAACATGGTCTGGGTTATACTCATTGTTGAAGGCTGTATGGTTATATATATAGTTGTTAATTTCTGTTTATATAATTATTTGGTCTCTTGTGGAGAGTTGCCTCATTGGCAGTCATACCATATCTCCTTATTTTTATATACATAATAATACTTTTTTTAATATATGGTTTTTATATGTTGGCTGTCTCTCTGAGATATACTCCATAGTTGTTCTATTGTATTCATGATGATTACTCAAACCTCTAGTTCATTTAAAAAATTATTTATCACTTACTTGAAGAATCTGGTAAGGACTGATGGATGGGCTGATGTCATCTATGTGGTCTGCAATGTAAGTCCTTGTGAGTCCTTGTGTAAAGACCAAATGCTAAGATATTGTCTTGTAGATGATTGCCTGCATCACTGTAAGGGACTGTTGTCAGGTCTTTGTGCAACTGAATGACTCTGGCTTTCACAAACTTGTCAAGGAAGGTGCGCAACAGGACTGTCATCTCCTGGCTCAGAAAACCAATGTGTGACTCATCAGCCTAAAAAAGTGAACAAGATTATAAATGCGGAAAAATAAACAAGATAAAAAATGCATATATTTGAATGTAAAGATTAAATGCATGTAACAGGAGAATAATTCTATCATGTAAATAAATTTAAGTTTGTTCAAATCCATACTCTGATGAAAAGATGTCTCATTGGCAATCATATCACATCTCTATCTCCTTATTTGTAAATAAATGTTTCATGTACATATACCCCATTATATTCTAAATTTAAAATATTATTTAAAAAAAGTTCTTACTTAAAACATGGTGTTGAAGTGGTTCAGTGGTTCCAGTATGAAGTTGAGGAAGTGGAAATACAGGCACATTTCATGGTCATTGAGGTAGTTGGAACACCGCTTAATACGACCTGGCTTCTCCACCTCGACATGGGAGTTGAAGTAGGATGTAAGGGCTGAACAGTGATGAAGAAGATGACCAACACACTTTTCCAAACTAAGCCACCTGGTGCTGCTGTGCTTTATAATCTTACTAGGTTCTGTGTCTGTAAACTCTAGGAACTCTTTTTACTTCTCTTTTCTGTTGGAACTGAAATAAATATTCTTATTATAATCATATTATAAATTCAAAACATTTCAGAAAAAAATATGTATGTACCACATCTCCTTATTTTACATATAGAATGTATCAAATATAATATTATTATAAATTAACATGTGTTGATCCTATAAATATCATTTTTTGTTGGATTGCTGTCTCATTGACATTTTTCTGAATTTTCTGTAAGGAACATCTCATATAAGTATACCCCGTTTTTTTATGAATAATTTTATCTTAATGTTAAAATACCTGTGAAAGAAGTGGAAGTAAACTTTCACAAGCAGGTCTTCCACTGGCAGAGCAAGGGCCTTCACACCAGCAACAGTACAAAGGTTGGCAAGATGACACACACATCCAAAATCAAACAGCTGGACACTTTTCTTTGATGCGGGTTACTACAGAGTTGTGTCTACCAGTCATCACACTACAGTTGTCAGACACAAATGACACCAGGTTCTCCCACGGTATATTGTTGTCACTGAAAAAAAGAAGAGATATATACTTTTAAAGCACAATTAACACGAACTTGTATAAACAAAATAAAGTTTTAGACTTCTATGTCATTTGGTCTCTGGTAGGGAGTTGTCTCATTGGCAATTATACCACATCTTCTTATTTTTAAAAGTATTACAATGTACTAACATGTATTTGAAGCTGTTGCTTCTTATTGTCATATTCCTGTATATATGTATGTAATATGTCAATCAATCAATGACAATCAGTTAATAAATGGTGCTTAAATTAAATTTTAAAGTTAATTTGAAAATAACTTACACAAACACTTCCTGAAAATGGTCAAAGATGTTAGATGCTTTTCCAATATTACATATTGGCGGACTAGGAATTTGGTTGTTGCTTGGTCAGTGAAGTAGCGAACCAGAATGGCATAAGACTAGTGCTCTCATCAATGGGCATGGAAAACGGTTTGGTCTGCAGGTCTCGGACAACCTCTTCATGAAGAGTAGGTGCAAGTGACTTCTTGATAATTTGTGTAGTCTTTGTACTGCTTCATGCAAACTTTGTAGCTATCTTGCTGTCTGTAAACATGGCTTTACACATCTTTGTGAAGCAGTCTGCTAGTAGAAAGGAGATGTTGTGCTGTGCTATGAAGTTGGACCACATAACCTCAGCTTTGATAGTACCTGAAAAATTAAAAACAAGAATGTGTCCATAGTACACAGATGCCCCTCTCGCACTATCATTTTCTATGTTCAGTGGACCGTGAAATTGGGGTCAAAACTCTTAATTTGGCATTAAAATTAGAAAGGTCATATCATAGGGAACATGTGTACTAAGTTTCAAGTTGATTAGACTTCAACTTCATCAAAAACTTCCTTGACCAAAAACTTTAACCTGCTAATTTTCAGATGGTTTTTGTCTAAAATGGAAGTGGCCGCACTTGTGTTCAGTCTTAATATTTAAATGTTGTATTTGAAAATAATACATATTAAACATATATAAAGGTGGAGACTGAACACGAATGCGGCCACTTACATTTTCGACAAAAACTGTCTGAAAAGTGACGTTTTATGGCATATCTGATAGATTTTTCATATCTTAGCTTGAATTTGAGTGTCTTTAATGACCAAATCAGTACTGCAAGGTACCATACCACAAAGGGAAGGCTGGGATTGATTTTGGGGGTAATTGCCTCAAAATTTTAGAAATAAGGGGCCAAAAAGGGGCAAAAAAACAACCATTTTTCTAGTTTCAGGACAATAACTTGTAAGTGTATGGATCTTTATGAAATTGTACTACAAGGTTCCATATCACAAAGGGAAAGCTGGGTTTGAGTTTGGGGGTAATTGCCCTAAACGTTTAAGAATTTGGGGCCAAAAAGGGGCCTAAAAACAAGCATTTTTCTAGAATCCAGACAATAACTTGTGTTCAAGTGTATGGATCTCTCTGAAATTGTACTGCAGGGTACCATACCACAAAGGGAAGGCTGGGATTGAGTTTGGGGTGATGAATCATAAGGGGGTTCAAAAAATTTGGGGGAGGGATTTTTTTTTTTTTTAATTTTCCATTTTAAATTGGTTATTTCTGATTTATATATAAAAGCAAATAATAATGATATGGTTTGAATAGGTAAATTAAAAAAATTTAAGTTCTTAGACCACATTCATTCTGTGTCAGAAACCTATGCTGTGTCAAATATTTAATCACAATCCAAATTCAGTGCTGTATCAAGCTTGAATGTTGTGTCCATACTTGCCCCAACTGTTCAGGGTTCGACCTCTGCGGTCGTATCAAGCTGCGCCCTGCGGAGCATTTTATTGACTTTTTCTCAAAAACAATATTAGACGAGTAGAAACTGTAAACAGTAAAAATAATTAGCAATGCAAGATAAATTTTGACAGATGAGTGATTTAGGCTCTTAGTAGCCCCTTGATTTTAATTCTTGTTATAAATTTTATTCTTACTTAGTGGCATACCTGTCAACCTATGAAAATGAAAAGGCAGGTAAGTAATTAGGGGACATTTCTTTATATTTTAAATTGAACATTTTCCAAAATATGTTCACATGGTGAAGTACTAACTGAAAATAATTTAAAGCTTTATTTTTTCATTGCATAATAAGCCATTGAAATATTATTGTGTTATACTTTATCATTTCAAGCCAAGCCATACCCCCCTCTCCTTGTTTCATTCATAGTATTATGTCAATTCTCATAGCTACTTGTTTTCCAGTAATTAACATTTTGTGCATCTTCTTGATATTGCAATGTAATAAAATAATTCAGCATTTAAAGGAAGTAGAGATAAAAAATTAATTTTCAAAATAATTTTTAATTGTTCTAAAGTAGAAAAATAGAAAGTAATATTGTGATATGTATTCGCATTCATTTTTTTTCAGATTTAATCTTTTTACCAAAAAAACCCATAAAATTAAGGAGGTGACAAAAAAGGGGAAGTAACTCAAATTTATTGTCAAACAACTTTGAAATAGACAAATTATTTATGACCTTAAGCTAAGGTAATAATTAACAGTGTGTTTGACACCAAAGCTGTCAAGTGAAGCCATGCACTTAATGGGTCACTTAATTTGACAGTTAACACAGCTATTTGAACTTCCTGTCCAGGAAGAATTACGAATTTGCCGGTATTTCAAAGGAAAATCATTAATGAAATCAGTCTAAAGCTTCAAGAATCCGGGTGCAAATGGGTCATTTACGAATTCCCAGGTTATTAAAGGACAGGGCGGGTATTTAAAAAATCCCGGGTATGGGGTGAAATTCTTGGGTGTAACCTGCAGGATACGGGTCGGTTGACAGGTATGCTTATTGGTTGTTTTAGGAAACACATGATCAGTTATGCCATGAATGCCATAATCTACAACTAAACCAAAGTTGTCTATTTACCTGACAATTTACAACCAGCCTTTGTAAAGAGGTACTTTCAAAGGTTCTGACCAGCTATTTTTTATGACTTCTGTGACAATTGGCACTACTATTGACTGAAAATGAAAGATCTACAAAATGGTCAAGCACTATTCTTAATCATTGTCTTGAATGTTTTTGTTTAAATATATTTTTCAGAACAGTCCACAAGCATTAGAAAAAGCTACAAATTTAGTTCAAGTTACATATCACAACAGTAAGAGAATAACATCACCAAGAACAAGAGCATACGCTGCAGCTTTAGCATTAAATCAGGTACATTTAATTATAGTCTGTATGTATAAAGCTTAAAAATTCATTGCTTCAGTCTATTATTTGCATATGAATGTTATTCTAAGGCCACACCAATTTGATTCCTAGTTCTTTGGATTTTCCCGCTCCTGTTTTGGAGAAATTGACCATTCAATGAAAAAAATATTACCGCTTTCGCATATTTATGGTCCGCATGCCGCTCCAAAATTAGTTTCTCCTTGAAATTTTTTTCGCATAGAGGCTTTTCTATTGCATATAATGCTCCGCTCGTTTCAAACGCACGTGATAAATAGATTGGTAAATAAAAGGTCAAAAATTGAGATGCCAACATGCAGTTGTGTCAGCTCATTGTCGTGGACAAGTAGTCATTGAACACACAGTTTTCCGATATGCTTCTCATTTTACATATGAAGACCTGTTCTAGGATGCAAAAATTAAAATTTTTCATTAGATGACCACAAACACATCAACAGATCAATACTTATTAGACCATTGTCATCCCCAATCCGTTTTTCGACATGCATAGACCAATATCTTGGATGAAATGAATTGTTAATTCCCCTGAACTTTTTAAAAATCACAGGAGTATTTGATTTTGATGAAACCTAATATCCCCTTGATAGTCTTTTGGCATGCAAGCAGAACTCTTTTGTTTGTTAGTGGGAATTTAAAGAGTATCAACGAGACCAAGGTGATGGTATTGTGATTGACATGCTCATCATAATTAGGAGTGTGTAATTGATTCAACTACCTCTAGTCAAGCTAAAGAGTTTTAAATGCATTGCTGCTTTTAGGAGCAAAAGGAAAGAGTATTTTGTTCAGGCAGAATAATGTATCTGAATGGAGTGACGCATTTTAAGGGAACATTTTAATACTGTGGGATCTACATGTATAGCAGTATAATAACCATCTTGCTTAGGATTTTGTTTTAGTACAAAGCAAAAAATATTCACCTCACTCATTATTTTGATCCTGATAATGGATGAATAGTTCCAACTGGATGTCAAGCAGCTAATAAACCATTACCATATAATGAAAAGAACTTCTATCAAATGATCTTTCAGGGGCATTTGTTTGGATACATATACATATTTTAATTTTAATCAGCATGTGTCATTTACCTAACTTACATAAATTCCTCTTGTAAAACCCTTGAATCTCTTTCATTAAACCTTCACCCTATCTGTACCATGAACAGATATGCATGACAAAAATGTTTTATAAGATAAAAAATGAAGATTGCAGTGGTTGCTACGCTTCCTTGATATATATATGGATTTAAATGAAACTTCATGCAGACAAAGCTTACTTGAGAAAATAACTAAAATGAACTAAAGCCTCTTTCAACTGATTTTTATAGTTCGTTCTTATGTTGTTCTGTTACGCCACTGTCCCAAGTAAGGGGAGGGTTAGGATCCCGCTAACATGTTTAACCCCGCCACATTCTGTATGTATGTGCCTGTCCCAAGTCAGGAGCCTGTAATTCAGTGGTTGTCATTTGTTTATGTGTTACATATTTGTTTTTCGTTCATTTTTTGTACATAAATTAGGCTGTTAGTTTTCTCGTTTGAATAGTTTTACATTGTCATTTCGGGGCCTTTTATAGCTGACTGTGCGGTATGGGCTTTGCTCATTGTTGAAGGCCGTACGGTGACCTATAGTTGTTAATTTCTGTGTCATTTGGTCTCTGGTGGAGAGTTGTCTCATTGGCAATCATACCACATCTTCTTATTTTTATATAAACCACAGTGAAACAAGAAAGTCTGGTATGGTACAGGCACCAATAAATCAAACTATATGCATTAGAGCATCTTGTTTTTCGATGAAGTAACCCAGTTATAACAGGTACAACTTCTAAATCACACAATTTGAGAAAAAAATAATACCGCTCGCTTCACTTGTAGGACACTCTTCTAAAAAAAAACTCATTTTCAAGAAAAACTAGCAGAAAAAAGTAACTGTGAATCATATAAATCATATAAAAAATTCTGAAATTTGCAAAAGTAAATTTAAAGACAAAAGTTTGATAAAATAATATCTTTTGAAAATATCTGGTCATACAGATTTTTGTATGATTCTTGAACCAATGCGTTTTTATCAAATTTTCTTGCCCAAGGTATTGTTTTGTAGAATAAGGTGTAAAACATTTCATTAATCTTTAAGATATGAGAAAAACATTTTGCTGACTTCTTTGAAGCCAATGAAAAGCCATGTAACCAAAACTAATATGAAATGATTTTGATTTTTATACGACCACAAAACATTTTTTGGGTTCGTATAATGCTATGATGTCGTTGTCGTCTGCGTTGTTGTCTGCGTCGTCGTCGTCCGAAGACACATTTGGTTTCCAGACAATAACTTTTAGTTTAAGTGAATGGATCTCTATGAAATTTTACAAGAAGGTTCAATACCACAAAAGGAAGGTTGGGATTGATTTTGGGGGTAATGGTACCAACAGTTTAGGAATTAAAAAACAAGCATTTTTGTAGTTTCCAGACAATAACTTTTGTGTTAGTGTATGGATCTCTCTTACATTGTACCACAAGGTTCCATATCACAAAGGGAAGGCTGGGATTGAGTTTGGGGGTAATTGCCTCAAACATGCAGGAATCGGGGGCAAAAAAGGGGCAAAAAAGAAGCATATTCTAGTTTCTAGACAATAACTTGTGTTTAAGTGTATGGATCTCTCTAAAATTGTACTAAAAGGTTCCATACTACAAAGGGAAGGCTGGGATTGAGTTTGGGGGTAATTGCTCCAAAGTGGGGGTCAAAAAGTTGGGCGGGGGGGGGGGGGGGGGCGGGGGATTTTTTTTCCCAATTTTTTAAGGGGTTCATATATTTTTTTTCAAAATTTTTCAAATTTCAATAGATTTTTAAGATCTTTGATCTCATTTATTTTGTGTCAGAAACCTATATTATGTCAAAAATTTGATCACAATCCAAATTCAGACAGTATCAAGCTTGAATATTGTGTCCAAATTTGCCCCAACTGTTCAGGGTTCGAACTCTGCGGTCGTATCAGGCTGTGCTCAGCGAAGCATTTTTTTGTAGAATAATCCAGATCTTGCATTAGAAATACTAAAATTGTCTGTTGAAAGTGATTTTGTACAGAGTCTGAATATGGCATTAAAAGTAAGTATATGAATCAAGGGAGATCTTGGTAAATATTAGCATTGATCAATGAGACTGCAACCCAACAGTTCAAATAGACATCTAGAAGTCATTATACAAACTTAAATAAGGAGTTAGCATAAATCAGGCTGTTGTTTTTGATTTTGAATTGTTTTGTTTTGTCAGCATTGGACTTTATATCTTACTTTGCAATATGAATTTTGGTCATAAGGGAAGGCCATCATAATGTTTACTAAAATACATTTTTCAGATTAAAGATTTAGATGTATAATATATATTTTTATGCTGTAGCATTTAACCCCCTGTACATAACAGGTAAACATTTTGCATATTATAAATTTTCATTTAATAATAGTTGATTGCTCTTAAAACTTCAAAGATAAGGAGACATCTACCTTGAACTGTGAGGGTCAAGTGTATGTTCTGACAACTCAATGATATCTAACTGTGCGTTCAACTAAAAACTGTCAAAGATTTACCAATCTAAAGTTTTAAATTACGATGTGTCATAATCTTTTTAAAAAAAAGATTCTGAAGACATCTAGTTATACTCAACTCCTCAGATTGGATTCTTGCATGATTCTTTAGTATGGGTGCACAAAATTGTTTCATGTTCTGTGTTAGTGTTTATTGAACAAGGTGTTAAACATTTCACTGCCGACATAACTAAACAATGTTGGGTTTTTGTGCAGATGTTTTCTTGAAATCGAACCAAAATTATTACTTCATGATATTTTTTTTAGATAATTGCATTGTCAAGACTTGACCAAGTAGATGCTGCAATGGAATTGCTTGATAAATATCATGTTCAAACATCTATCAGCTATGACAATCCATCAAAAATATTTCCAGACTGTGTAAGAATTAATGAATGTGTTTATTATAAAAATAAGAGGATGTGGTATGATTGCCAATGAGACAACTCTCAACAAGAGACCAAATGACACAGAAATTAACAACTATAGGTCACTGTACGGCCTTCAACAATGAGCAAAACCCATACCGCATAGTCAGCTATAAAATGCCCCGAAATGACAAATGTAAAACAATTCAAATGAGAAAATTAACGGCCTAATTTATGTACAAAATAATGAACGAAAAACAAATATGATACACAGCAACAAACGACAACCACTGAATTTCAGGCTCCTGCCTTGGGACAGGCACATATAGAATGTGGCGGGGTAAAACTAGTTTGAAGGCGCCAATCCTCCCCCTAACCTGGGACAGTGGTGTTACAGTACAACATAAGAACAAACTATAAAAATCAGTTGAAAAAGGCTTAACTCATCAGATGGATACAAATAAAAATACATCTAACAAAAACACAGAATGCACAAAATTCATATCAGGCTTATGATATAGGAAATGTCAGTCAAGTTGGGAAAAGAGGATGCCTGTTACATGTAATCAACTCCTCCAGCGGTGTTGAAACCAGAGCCTTTACACTTTATTAAATGTTTGAATATACAAGATGTGCACCCCACTTTATGGATACATTTGGATATTTTTTGCAAAAACTACAATAGACCGATAAAAACTTCAAAAAAGCAAAAATGATCAGCAAGACAAGATTTACAAATAATTTAAATAGCAGAAATTGTCAGTCAACCCAATATTGGCGATTTTGCTCTTTAATGATGATATTTACCAATTTTTTGTGTGTTTGCCTATTACCTTGAAAATTATATAGAAAGAAACTTTGAACAAAATGATCAGCAACGCAAGATCTTCGAACAAGTCAAATTTTGCCGGTATAGTTAGTAGACTCTTTATAGGAGTGATTGCCCATTTTTTACCCTCATTTCAAATGGTGACTTTCTGCAGCAATCTCAATCAATGGTAACCATGTTTTGGATGAATTTATTTTTTATCTAATATCTCTTAAGAAAACAGAAATCAGTAGATATCACCTTTTTTTTAACTAGCATTCAAATACCAGTGTCAATCCTTTTTTTTTACTAGCATTCAAATACCAGTGTTATTAATTTTTTTTAATTAGCATTCAAATACCAGTGTCATTACTTTTTTTTAACTAGCATTCAAATACCAGTGTCTTTACTTTTTTTAACTAGTATTCAAATACAAGTGTCATTACTTTTTTTTAACTAGCATTCAAATACCAGTGTCATTACATCTATATTTCTTCTCAAATTACAAACCAAACGTATTACAGATTTTTGTGATTCTGTGGATTCAATGATTTGTGGGAATCAGTGTAGGATTCAACTATTTTGCAGAAACATTAGCAAAAAATCTATCCCGCCAAAAACATTCCTGATACAAATAGCGTGTTCAAATCAAAATTCTGTAAAGGAAAAACTTATTGTTTCTAGTGCATATTTATCCCCCCCCCCCCCACCCCCACCACCACCCAAAAAAAAAATGAAAACATCAAAAACTTTTGCATTTAAATCACAAAATTATCCATGTTTACTGTATATAAAAAAAAATTTGTACAACACACACATACACATAGCTGTATCAAAGATTCTTCTATATTTTGGAAAATTCAAAACCTTCAGAAGTCTTTTCTTCCATTTCAGATAGAAGCTTTAAGTAAAATGGTTGACAGAAACGATGACCCACAAATTAAACAGACATTTACTGATACAAAAACGGATTTGAAACAAGCTCAACTTGTAAATGATGTTTCAATATTTGACAAGCTTTGTGACACAATTCATAATAGTCGACCTGATAATGAACATATACAAAATTTACAGGATAAACGAGGACGACTTGTTAGAGATCATCACAGATATTGAAATGTTCTGACTTTTTGTGTGGAAGATGTCAGACTTATAAATGATGTTTCAATATTTGACAAGCTTTGTGACACAATTCATAATAGTCGACCTGGTAATGAACATATACAAAATTTACAGGATAAACGAGGACATCTTGTTAGAGATCATTACAGATATTGAAATGTTCAGACTTTTTGTGTGGAAGATGTCAGAAAATTAATGAGACCACAAAATTGTTACACTGTGCCATAAAAGAATTCTTATTTATGGACTACAATTGTAGTTTAATAGATTGCTGACTAGTTTCTTGCCATGGTGTCTGTGCTTACGATGTAGACTGAGATTTTGATTGTTGAATGTTTAGATTTGACTTAGATACACATGTATTGAAATACTGAGTTGTTTAAGAGTTGTCAGAAGTTTTTAAGAGAAATATAAAGATAAAAAAAGGGATGAATATATAAACTTGTTTGTTATGAATATGAATTATGAGATTGCCTAATTACAGATACATTTGTAATTAAATGAAGACAAAACATTTCAAGATATTTCAGTCTTACCTGAACAAACTATCCCATGCTGTATTCTGTGGATTCATTTATTTTCCTCGATACCAATATTCGTGGATTGAAGAAAATTTGTATTTTCATGGATATTTGATTTTGTGGTTTAGCAAAAGTCTTCAAACAAGCCTAAAGAAAATAAATGATTGAAGTATAAGGTGTACAACATAACTTCCTTTATTTAAGTCTATATGAGTTTAGTTGGTTTCTGTCATGTGGTTTATGAGATGTTTTAGATAAAAAAAAAAGGTCTTGACTGACGATGCAAAACCCAGACTATTCAAAGTAATGAAAAGTTGTCCCTATATTTTGTAGCCACGATTCACCCAGCAGGCTATATTACCTTTTCTGCAATTACACACCCCTTTCAAAAATCCTAATTTTTTTCTATGATAATAACTGAATTCAACCCATGAGTTTAAGCAACTACTGAATTATCTACAATTTCCACATTTTAGACTCAAAATATAGAATCTATATAGTAATGCTACATATGCCAGTTTTTAATTATTTAGATGCAGTTCAACTATTTCTAAATGCATGCAAAATTTCGTAAAAATCTGAAATATTGTCCAATGACTTTTATTTCATCTCAAGTAAAGTATGTGTATACAATGTTTCATCTGACTTGCCGACAGTATTTGGTTTTGAACTGCATCAAGTGTATCAAGAATCTATTCAGTGTTTCAAAAGCCAAGCTAATGTACTAGTTTGTGATGTCCATCTGAGTTGCAGCTAGTGTTGTCAGAGAACGTTTTCCCTGGACAATGCTGGAGACAACTACCAACATGCCTCTACACAATTTAAGGCCCTGCATAAATTCTATACACAAATTGGAGAAGATACACACACATCAAAAGAAAAGTCCCAAATCATCGATTTTGAAATTTTTGACTATTATAAGACACACTTATAATATTTTATAAGTCAACTCAAATAACTGTCCAACACTGTACACTGGCTGTAGAATAAATGTGCATCGTTTACAACTATGAAAATCATCAATGACCTAATGAATGTTGTTATATATTTTTATGATGTTGGATGAACCAATATGACCCAATAAAAATGAACAATGCGGACGATTTTCCGTCAAATAATGAGATGGTCAATCAGTCACCGTACTCACCAGCCGTCATTCCAAAGTAAGCAATTAGTTTAATCCAAATTTGAGTTGAGATATCAGCAGTTATATATAAGGTAATGTAATGGCATACATTAGTTTTTTTTTACCTTCAATAGTTAAGACATGTTGATGCATACAAGTTGAACTAAATGTATTGTAGCTGCGAAACCATAGATCTTATGGTACATGTGATAATTTCTTACAATTTTCTATGGTTTGCAAATTGTCAAATAATATCACCAGGACAATAAGCGTTCAGCTACATGGATAAATGATGAATAATTTGCACCCGATAATGTCCAGTGTCAGTTCATCTGTGCATCATAATGTTTCCTGAAGATGTATAAAATATTGTAGTTCCTTCATACACTATACATATACTATCAGTCCAAATAAATATGATGTCAGGGAGTTAATCCGATGAATTTGATGCTCTAGACGGTATAGGGTCTGTTCGCTCCCATTATACGTTTGCACCCTATATGTGAGCACCCTACAGGTTTCCCTGGTGCCCTTCACACCCTACATGTTCGCATCCTATTTTTATTCAAATAAAGGTTAAATTATTAGAAGTTTTTAAGATGTATATATATCAAAATCTTTACAAGTCTAAATTGAAAACAACGTTCAATCCTATGTTTGCGTTGGATAAAAACCACAATTTTTATATGACCGCAAAAAATTTTGCGGTCGTATATTGGTATCACGTTGTCGTCGTCGTCCGAAGACATTTGGTTTCCGGACAGTAACATTAGTATTAGTGAATAGAAATCTATGAAATTTAAACATAAGGTTTATAACCACAAAAGGAAGGTTGGGATTGATTTTGGGGGTTATGGTCCTAACAGTTTAGGAATTAGGGGCCAAAAAGGGGCCCAAATAAGCATTTTTCTAGTTTCATGACAATAACTTGTGGAACAGTGTATGGATCTCTCTGAAATTATACCACAAGTTTCCATACCACAAAGGGATGGTTAGGATTGGCTTTGGGGGGTTATGGCTCAAACCGTTTAGGAATTAGGGGCAAAAAAGTGAGAAAAACAAATGTGTCCTGGTTAATGGACAATAACTTAAGTACAAATTACAGTGTAAGGGAGGTAATTCAAATACAACTTTGAATTACCTCCCTTACACTGCTTTTAAATTATGTATAAACAATTTTTGTATTGTCTTGAGGTGATTAGCTGTCAATTCATTTTTATATGACTGCAAAAAAATTTTGAGGTCGTATATTGGTATGACATTGGCGTTGTGTCGTCATCGTCGTCCGTCGACGTCGTCATCGTCGTCATCCGAAGACACTTTGGTTTTCGCACTCTAACTTTAGGAAAGTGGGGATTGATTTTGGGGGTTAAGGTCCCAACAGTTTAGGAATTAGGGGCCAAAAATAAGCATTTTTATACGACTGCAAAAAAACTTTTGTGGTCATATATTGGTATGACGTTGGCGTCCTCGTCGTCGTCCGAAGACACATTGGTTTTCGCACTTTAACTCTAGTTTAAGAGAATTGATCTCTATGAAATTTTACCATAAGGTTCAATACCACAAAAGGAAGGTTGGGATTGATTTTGGGGGTTATGGTACCAACAGTTAAGGAATTAGGGGCCAAAAATAAGCATTTTTGTAACTTCCAGACATAACTTGTGTGTTAGTGTATGGATCTCTTTGACATTGTACCACAAGGTTCCATATCACAAAGGGAATGCTGGGATTGATTTTGGGGGTAATTACCTCCAAATTTTAGGAAAAAGGGGCCAAAAATAAGCATTTTTCTAGTTTCCAGACAATAACTTATGTTCAAGTGTATGGATCTCTCTGAAATTGTTCTTCAAGGTACCATACCACATAGGGAAGGCTGGGATTGATTTTGGGGGTAATTGCCTCAAAATTTTAGGAATTAGGGGCAAAAAAGGGGCAAAAAACAAGCATTTTTATAATTTCAGGACAATAACTTGTATGTAAGTGAATGGATCTTCTGAAATTGTACTACAAAGTTCCATATCACAAAGGGAATGCTGGGATTGAGTTTGGGGGTAATTGCCCTAAACGTTAAGGAATTTGGGGCCAAAAAGGGGCCTAAAAACAAGCATTTTTCTAGTTTCCAGACAATAACTTGTGTTCAAGTGTATGGATCTCTCTGAAATTGTACTGCAAGGTACCATACCACAAAGGGAAGGCTGGGATTGAGTTTGGGGGTGATGAATCATAAGGGGGTTCAAAACATTTGGGGGAGGGATTTTTTTTCCTTTTTTTCCTTTTTTTTTCTTTAAAATTTTCCATATTATTGGTTATTTCTGATTTATATATAAAAGCAAATAATAATGATATGGTTTGAATAGTTAAATTAAAATTTTTTAAGTTCTTAGACCACATTCATTCTGTGTCAGAAACCTATGCTGTGTCAAATATTTAATCACAATCCAAATTCAGTGCTGTATCAAGATTGAATGTTGTGTCCATACTTGCCCCAACTGTTCAGGGTTCGACCTCTACGGTCGTATCAAGCTACGCCCAGCAGAGCATTTTATTGTAACTACCAGACATAACTTGTGTGTTAGTGTATGGATCTCTCTGACATTGTACCACAAGGTTCCATATCACAAAGGGAATGCTGGGAATGATTTTGGGGGTAATTGCCTCCATATTTTAGGAATTAGGGGCCAAAAAGGGGCAAAAAACAAGATTTTTCTAGTTTCATGACAATAACTTGTGTGTAAGTGTATGGATCTCTTTGACATTGTACCACAAAGTTCCATATCACAAAGGGAATGCTGGGATTGATTTTGGGGGTAATTACCTCCAAATTTTAGGAATTAGGGGCCAAAAAGGGGCTAAAAACAAGCATTTTTCTAGTTTCATGACAATAACTTGTGTTCAAGTGTATGGATCTCTCTGAAATTGTACTTCAAGGTACCATACCACAAAGGGAAGGCTGGGATTGATTTTGGGGGTAATTCCCTCAAAATTTTAGGAATTAGGGGCCATAAAAGGGCAAAAAACAAGCATTTTTCTAGTTTCATGACAATAACTTGTGTGTAAGTGTAAGGATCTCTTTGACATTGTACCACAAGGTTCTATATCACAAAGGGAATGCTGGGATTGATTTTGGGGGTAATTGCCCAAAACATTTAGGAATAAGGGGCCAAAAAGGGGCCAAAAATAAGCATTTTTCAAGTTTCCAGACAATAACTTGTGTTCAAGTGTATGGATCTCTCTGAAATTGTACTGCAAGGTACCATACCACAAAGGGAAGGCTGGGATTGAGTTTGGGGTGATGAATCATAAGGGGGTTAAAAAAATTTGGGGGAGGGGGATTTTTTTTTCTTTTTTTTTCTTTAAAATTTTCCATTTTAAATTGATTACTTCTGATTTATATATAAAAGCAAATAATAATGATATAGTTTGAATAGGTAAATTAAAAAAAATTAAGTTCTTAGACCACATTCATTCTGTGTCAGAAACCTATGCTGTGTCAAATATTTAATTACAATCCAAATTCAGTGCTGTATCAAGCTTGAATGTTGTGTCCATACTTGCCCCAACTGTTCAGGGTTCGACCTCTGCGGTCGTATCAAGCTGCGCCCCAGCGGAGCATTTTATAAGAAGTTACTATTAGATCATTTTAAAAATTCTGATTTAGGTAAATTAATTTTAGCTATGATTATGTATGTCATTTTCTATTTTAAGACTTTTATGATGTATTTAAATGGGTTATTATGGTTGCAAACTCCATTGGAAATTTGAATTGAAATTATGACCATGACTGAGGGAAAGAATTTTTTTTGGAAAAAGGGGGTGGGTGGGGAGGTTAAACAATAATTGGGGGGGGGGGAGGGGGTTAAAAAAATTG